CTTAGAAATAGAGGTACTTATTCTTAATAAAATTTTAAGCAATTACAAAAAAATATAAAAAAATATATTCTAGCGGGTATATTTGGCTGCTGGACGGTTTAAGGGATAATGTAAATTATAAACAGACTACTTAAAATAAATACTAAAAGTATATCTATGACTAATATATACTTTCAAATGTAAAGAGTTTCTTTAAAGCTAATAGCTGTAAACCTTTTATTTAATAATATTTGAATAAAAACCTTAAATTCAAAAAGACTAGTTAAAAAAAATAAAAATAAAGTTTGAAAATTTTTAATTTAACTTTAATAAATATTTTAATTTTTTTTAAATTTTTAAGCAAAAATATTTTAACAATTATTGTTATAGATTAAAATAAAATAGTAAACTTCTCTTACTTACCTTTAAAGCTTATATAGTAAAATCTATATATACTTTTTTATTAATAACTCTGCCTCTAAACCCTAATTCTAATACTAAAAAAAACTCCAAAAATATTCTTTAAAATATTTTAAATTTTTTTTAAAAAATAAAAAATTTGATTAGCTTTTTTCGAGTTTACTAAAATATATTAGTGGTGTTTAACACCACATACAGTGTATGATTATTAAAACAAATAAAAAAAGATTAAAATTTAACTAATATTAGAGTTAGAGTTATTAACTAGGATTGGGAATATTGATGTTATAACCAAAATTTTGCAAGAAATTTTTTTTATTAAAACACAAAAGATGGTTTTATAAGCAAAATTTTGAGTTATTAAAGATTTTTTAAAAAATTAAAGGATTGTTTTGTTACATCTGATCTTGATATTACACTGCAGATCAATAATTTTATTGGTTAAAATCACTATGTTGTTGAACACCACTGGTGCGTTTTAGTAAACTCAAACTTTCTTTATTTGAATTTTATAGATTTCTAAAATTAAAATAAAAAAAAAATTTAATAAATTTAACTTAATGGGTTTTGAAATATTTTATTCAAAGTTGAAAAAAATTTTTAATTTGCAAAAAGTATAAATATACAAATATGAGGGGTATAAAAATTGATTGATCCCCTATTAAGTAATATTTTTGTTTAACTATTAGTAATATTTATTTTCAAAAAAAGCAAAACTCGTATTTTAAAAAAAAATTGTATATAAAAGCAAAAAAGGTAAAATTTAAAAGCTTGTATTTAAACTTGTATTTGTCCGGGTCATGTTCAATGATAAAACCTACTCGATAATCATATAATTGCATACAATCGCAGAAATATATGCAAGTGTAACAAAGAAAGAAATACTTTTGGATATTGTTTCCATGTTCACCTGTGCAAACAAAGAAAAAGGCGGGGAAATAAGCGGTGGCTACGAATATTTAATATCGGATGAGCAGCAGAAAACATATGAAACTGCGTCATTGTATGCGAATACCAGATTTATACAAGAATCAAAGCATGAATGATTGATTATGTGAAGTGATAGAAAAATGATTTTGGTTTAGAATATTTTTTATCCTATATCGATATCGAAATATGCAATTTGTTTACTGTTGGGTTTTCGTTACCCCGTTATTACTCCATGATTTCAACGATTCATCCCTGTTTTCTTTAGCTCGAAATAGTTTAGAGCGTGATCGTGTGACTCTTCATCCTAATTTATGTGAGATTGCCCGCCATTTTTCCATTCCCACCGTTATGTATTATGATAAACGGCGAACAATTTACATCAACTTGAATCACATTTACGTGTTGCATCGACTTTAAAATTCCAGGTTTAAATTATACTTGCAATTGAATTATCTCGTAATAGTGATGCAACCTTCCAATTATTGTATTAAAAGTTGATCATGTTACCATTTAATTGAATGAATTTATTTCCACACATTGCTCGATTGATAATTTATTTGATATGATATCTATTCATGTTTTATAACAAGATGTCCCTGCATTGTTCAAATAGATCAAAATATTAAAATCACAAGCGAACCTCTAATTCATGGTTGCTAAATTTCAAAATACCGATACATTTTTTAATACATCGTTTTCGTATATAACATGTTATGCGATAATTGTAACGGTTACATAATTGGGCGGGGAACCACCTGCGTATGTTAACATAAATGTGTATTGATCTGTATTATTATCGTTTCTTTATTCTTTTTTTTATTATTTATTATTAGTTTTAAATGTGAAAAAGCCATCTTTCCTTTTGAAATTATTTTATTATTAAAAAAGAAAAAAATCATGCAGGATTCTGCGTTTTATGGTGTAATAACTGATTCATTAAACATTAACATTAACGTTAATAAAAAGAATAAAAAAAATAAAAATAAAAATAAAATTCGGATTTTTGATAAACATTAGACCTAATATTAATATGTGGGGTCATGCATTTTAATCGGTCATCAAGCGAGAGTACAAAAAACTTGATCGAACTTGTATTTTCACGATTCTGCAACTCACATGTGCAATCATAATCTGAGAAATTTTATAAAAAGATATTTTATTTTAGCCAATTAAAGTTTTTAAAAGCGAGAAAATTTTGTTATTGATCCATCACCTGCTCGATTAATTGAGTTTTTCCAGTCGATCAAAAGCTACCAAAATTATTACTATGAGCCAATAGTATCAGATACTTTTCATCTATGCCTTTGATCAAAAAAAAAAAAAAAATATTATGCCACTTCGCCATTTATACAAATAAATATAATGATATTTGTTCCTGTTACGTTCTGATCGTCGCCTGACCACCAAACAATCCCCCACTAAACAATCCCCACACTACAGACCTTAATTATATACTGCTTGTTATCGATAAAATAAAACGTATATAAAAACCCCCATTACCTGAATTTCAAAAATTAAAAAAAAATTACTATTTTAAAATTGATTGATCAATTTACTATGTATAATTTCGCTTCCTTTCAAGCATCTGTTCAAGATAAATTACGAAATGATGACAAACAAGATAGTCAACATCAAAAATCAAAGAAATCCGTTTGTTCCTCTTCCTCAATAGACAGTTGGAAATTATTTGACCATGCCATGTTATTAACTTCTCAAGCAACTATCTTAACTGCAAATTTTCTCACCCACCATCTATCCGGTCCCCGTAAACCTTCTTGGCCAATACAACTTACGTTAATTTGTGCCGCCATGAGAGCCCTAACCGAGCATACCCACTTGGCTGACGTGGATAAACTAAGAATGTTTATTAGCATTCCTTTTATCTTTACCCCTTCGGATATCGTTGTTACACCTGTATCATTTAGAGTTTTGAATAGAGGATTACCTGGTATATTAAAGGATTTAGAAGATTGTGAAACAGGGAATCGAGAGATTAGTGCTGAATGGGTTGTACCCAAAGGATTATGGAGAAAAATTAACGATGATTATCATTTATCAGCTGCTCATTATAAGCATATATATGTTGATCAAGATGGTATTAAATGGTCAAACGAAAAAGTAATTTTATATCTACACGGTGGTGCTTACTATCTTATGTCAGCTAAAACACATAGAGAATTAAACTATCGTCTATCGAAAGTAACTGGAAGGAGAGTTTTTGGTATGTACACACGCATTCATTATTCGTGAATATATAATATATGGGGTCTTTGCCTTGAAACTCACCTTCCGACATTTCCGATCGGGTTAATTCGGACAAAAATAAACCCGAGTACTGGTTCATGTTCATATGTTAATCATCTTTTACTTTTATTGATTCAATAGTTATTCGATAAACTATTGAATCAATAAAGTTATAAGACCATTAACATATGAACATGAACCAGTACTCGGGTTTATTTTTGTCCGAATTAACCCGATCGGAAATGTCGGAAGGTGATTTTCAAGGCAAAGACCCCATATATGCTATTTGGTTGGTTTGTAATTTGTCACATGTTGTCATGCGTTGATCTACATTTACTTATCCAATGAAATTCAAACACTAGCAATAAATTATCGATTAGCACCAGAAAGTCCTTTCCCTTGTGGTCTTCATGATGCCGTTCATTCTTTTCTCTATTTAATTGACCCTAATGGTTTGGCAATTCAACCACATAATATTGTCGTTGCGGGTGACAGTGCCGGTGGTGGTTTAGGCGAGCTTTCGTTTTTTCTTTTTATGTAGCGTTTATAGGAATTATGTATTATGTTGGTCTGATTTATTATTGATAATAATAGCTTTAGCATTGCTTTATTATCTTCGTGACAATCGAATGTCATTACCCGGTGGTGCGGTCTTATTTTCAGTAAGTTACCTTTATTTCTGTTTATCCGGTTTTATATATTATATCGTACACATAAATCTTATTATTTTTTCTTATATAGCCGTGGGTAGATTTGACGATGTCATGCGCAAGTTGGGATCAAAATCAACCCTACGATTATTTATTCAAACAAAAAGATGATGATCCATTACATCCTGTAAATCTTTACTTAAAATCTCATGAGGATCGTTCAAAATTGATTACTCATCCTTATGTATCTCCGTTATTTGGTGAATTACATGACTTACCTCCGTTATTAATACAATGTGGTGATAGTGAAGTGTTGAGAGATGAGATTTATTTGTTGGTTCAAAAAGCTTTTGAAACCGGAACTACATTCGTACAACACGAAGTTTATGAGGGTTTGTGTTTTAAATAATTTCTGGTTTTAGTCGTATCCTTTTGGTGATAGCATATACTAAAAAATACTGGCGCATTTCTTATTTAATAAAGATATGGTCCATGTGTTTCAAATGTTCAACTTTTTAGAGCCGTCAATAAAAGCAATGGATTCGGTTGGTTATTTTGTAAGAAACGTTCTACCAATTCATCAACGAAACTTAATATCGCATAATAGATATTGTACAAATGAGTGTACTACCGCTGGAACTCTTGAATGCAGTATAGCTCGATTTCGGTGAGCTGTACTCTCACATCTAAAAGCATAATAGTTCAGTACCATTGTTTATTATATTAGTGCTAATTATGTTTAAAAACATTCTTATTAATCCTCATACTTTATGAGATTTGATTTCCATTCCTGAGTATATTAAAATGACTTGTTTTCTCGTAATAAAATAGCTGAGAAATTACTCTTGTAGTAGCCTTAAGTTTGAATTATTAAAATAAATAATAATTAATGTTCGATTTAGAGCTAGATTTTTGCATAAACATATCTATCAGACTTTTCTTATTATTTTTGAAGTTATCATTTGGTTTAAAACGGTGATGTCTTTTGTTGTTTTATTTATATAAATGTCACGAACGAAAAGTAAGATTTCTGAAATTAGGCGTAGTAAAGTCTTGTGATCATAGGATCATGGCTTTGATCAATATTATAGAATCTTCGATTGTTACATGTGCGGTTTAGAAGTCATAGGTAGAATATGTTCAGGCGGAAGTGATACAAACGCGAATCAAACATTCGTTCCTTAAGAAGAAACTGTTGAATTTCTGAGTTTGGGCTGTAATAGACTAATTCATCAAAGCCCTTTCCGCTCGTACTGATGTAAAATTATATCTTAGCTTTGTAAATGGAACTAATTCACGGTTACCAATTAATAAATTAATAAATGATAACGATCATATTAACATCCTTCCTGCTTAAAATTATTATTATATCACCTTAGTCATGCTTTGACAAGGTGTTTTATCCTTAATTAAATTTATTTCGTAATAACCTTTTTTTACGGAAAAATTATCTTTCCGTTTTGAAGAAATCAAATTAATTCGGCTCGAATCATTCGAATTTGATTTTTTTTATTTTTATTTTTTAGCACTACGTTTATTAGAATTTATATACTCAACAAATGTCTTTTGTCAATATCACGTAGTGCTGGTGACGATGTAATTTTCGGATTCGATGACGTGAAAAAAAAACCAGTTTTTATTTATCTTTATATCGATATTGTTACTTTTTGATTAACAGAATCAATTCAGAATTTAAAATACATAATATCTTGTACGTATATGTATATACTGTACATTTTATATATACGTATAATAAAACTGATTAATGAATATATAGTAAGTAATAGTGCTGAATAAGCCGATTAATTAACATCATGTGATTAAGCCCCTTCCAGAATTTGATTAATCCTGTTGTTTTCTAGTTATAACCTTCATTACTAATATTCATAGAATTTTAAAGTATTCGACGATCAATCAATAAATAAATGAATGAATAAATTGATAATTCTATTTTTGACCCGGGTTTACAGCTCCACTACCAGGCTTTAGACTACTTCCGTATATAGTCATATAAAACAACCTGGGTATGTTACATTCTATCGATTAAAACACTTGAAAAACTTGAATAAGACCGATATTGGAGACCGGGTATAAATTAGGGGCTATCGTCATTTACAATTAAAAATTGTGTTCTTAGAGAATATTGAAAGCATCGAATTTTAAACGCTGGTGTGATTAGTTGGGAGAATGTACGTACGTACAATTTATAACTGGAAACTCTATATTTAAAACTACTCAATGTCAATGATAAATGGAAATGAACGAAATCATTTCTATGCTATTTTCTCTTTCCAAGAAGTGACCTGGTCGTCGCAAAAAAAGGTATCGTTCCCATCCTCAATGGTTTTTTTTTTTTTGAAATTGAGCGCCCCGAAAATAAGCACCCCTGGCACGCACTATGCAACTTATGGCCCGCATTATACCAATTTTGCCAGCACTATATGCAAAAATGGGGTGCTTAATGTCGGAACGGTATGGTAATTTTTACGATACGATGGATGCAACCCGATTCTGAATCTAACGAACTCTACAATGAATAACGAGCTCAAGTTTTTAAAATTTGATTATAGTTCGATATAAAAAGTGCTACGGGCTCTTAAGAAAATATTTCTTCAGAACTTCATAGGCAGAAGTTTGTCTGATTGGCTAATAAATTCAATTTAATTTTACATTATTTATATAGTTTGGAGTACTTTTTAAAAAATCAAAAACTAAATACCAAAAAACTGTATAGAAGGTTTCATTAGAGCTGTAGGACTCCATAGCCAAAAATAAGCTCTAATTCTCGTCCGTTTAAAAAAGTTAGTATAGTAATAACTTCTCAAAAACCGATAAAATCAACTTATTTCTAAGCTAAGTTTTTTAAACGGACGAGAATTAGAGCTTATTTTTGGCTATGGAGTCCTACAGCTCTTATGAAACATTCTATATAGTTTTTTTTACTTTATTATGGTTGGTTTTTTTCGTTTTTTTAAAAAGTACTCTAAACTGTATAAATAATGTAAAATTAAATTGAATTTATTAGCCAATCAGACGAACTTCTGTCTATAACTTCAGAACATCAGTTCGTTATATTGAACACAGAAGTTTACTATGTTCCTGGTGTCATCAATTCTGCAAGTCCGACTAAATTAAGAAAAAATTTTTTTCTATTTCAAAATTTTGTCTATGAAATGCTCTTGGTGCTCTAAGAAAAAAAAATCTACTCATAATTTTGATTTAAGTTTTTTCTAAACCCCCTTTCTAACTTCTTCCAATCTAACAATTAAAATCGGTTTAATATTGGCGATGTTGATCAATTAGCATAACCTGTCACACATTCCGGACTTGCATCAATTCTACCGTATTGTGACGATCGATTATTGTTATAGAATTATTTATACACATGTAGAAATAAGTTTTCTGCTAGTAGGTTAGTGATTAATGATGCAACCATTTATTAGGGTAGTGACTACCTACGGGGTAGTATGCCGTGAGTGGGGTAGTATTCCCCGTGAATGATTAAAACACAGTCCTGTTAAAATCGATAGTTTGCCATGTCTAGTAAAAAAAAATCGAGTATCCGCTTCATAATCCGATACTTAAAAGACATGTATCGGGTTTGTAAATATCTAGCTAGCAAATCAGAGTGTTATCCGGTTTATTTGAATACGTGTAGTTATTAAATTTATCTAATTTGATGTTAATCATCACAAAAGTTCTGTGTTAGAAAGCTAATCTCTAATTTAAAAAGAGTCGACTTTTTGATGGAGCCTAATATATGTTATTTAATCTTTTTTTTTTTTTCCTTCGGCAATCCTGTTTACTTTATTATGAAAACAGACTTTCATCCTTACACCGCATAAGAAATCTAAATCTATAAGTGTTCCAACCAAAATGTAAACTCACCTATGGTGTACCTTGCAGATGCTATAACATCCACTTGCAGTCAGGGCAAATCATTAAACTGCTGTGTTTTGCCCAGATGCGACCTGCCTAACAACACTTGGTCTCCTCCAGAGATCTGAAACTCACTTCAGATTTATTTCTTTCGGATTTCTTGGCTGGTTGTTGCTCACCCTGTCAAGATTCCTGCCCTACAATAGAATGCTGTCAAACTGATGATACTTTCTCGTAGGGAAGGAAAAAAGAAAAAAAGGGATAATGGAAAACAAAAAAAAAGAAATAAAAAATAAAACTAATACATCAAAGAAAATGGATACTAATACTAAGAAATATAAAAAAAACTAAACTAAAACCTAAAA